AGTTTACGGACCAAGTTTACAAAATTCACAGCATATTTGTACTTTTTCCAGTATTTTGATGGTAAATTAGAGAATAGATACTGTCCATCGGAGTTATGTGGTATTTCTGATGGCTCTGAAGACAGTGGAATTCCATGTTTCCCATTTGGATGGCAAACRGAAATCTTCATTCCATTTGGAGAAATTCTCAACACCTCAACAACTACATCTTGGTTACCATCCTGGGATATCAATTCCAAACACACCTCACAATCTTCTAGAATGCTTACTACGGCATTTCTTGTTTTCTGGCGTATTGGTCGTAGACGCTGTGCATTCAAAGGTTCAGTGACATTACCAAGACATTTTCCTTTAGATTCACTTTTAGATTTGTGCTCTTTTCTTCCTTTACTGTTTTTCTTCTCACTTGGACTGYTTCTCTTCTCTGGCAAATCAAAATCTCTACTAACACTATCACTGCCATGCCGTTTATGTTGGGAAATTGTTTGATTTCTGTTGTTTTGGTTTTCTGTAATTTGGTTGTTATTGTAATCACTTAATCTTGACTTATTTTCAGTATTAAGTCTTGGATTTCCAGCACTGTGAAAGCCACTGCTGTTTGACTCCAAAGCTGATTGTTTTTCCTTATCACCCAAAGAGTTATTATTATAATAACTGCTGTACTTGCTGGCATTGTAGGATCTAAGAATAGATGGATGGATGAAAAATTGAATGGGTCATTAAATTTGCTGCTAAAAACATATTGTAAATGAATAAAAAAAACATATTTTAGCAAATAAAGAATCAAATAAAATGACTTCAATTGAGTATTCTACAGCTGTTTGAGTTGCAGCATGTATTTATTGATGCAAGCTCATGGGGACTAAATTACGTTTTTTGCTAACAGACTAAACATTAAGTTTTTGGGTTTGCAGCTAAGCAAGAGTAGAAAACATAAAACTAAGAGTTCCACTTTTCTTCTTAGAATTATTTGGTATGAAAACCATTTTAACAAGGGGCATTACCTKCAAATGAGTTTAAGAATAATTCAAAGAGCCACACAYTTTTAATACRTACTTGAATTTATTCTGCAGTCCACTGGTCTTTCCACTAACCACACCAATGAGYGGCTCCTGTAATTTCTTCATTGGAAATGTTGCAGATGTTGAAATATCTGACAGCCACATGTCTGAGGTTGTTGGTTTCATCTTATTCAAAGACGTCAGACTGGCCATCTCCGTACCGCGCAGATGATGTTGATTCACACTTGTGTGCACATTTTCAGTACTTGGACAAGAGCTATAAAACAATTAATGAGTTTTGCTTCATGTTTATTTTATCAAGAAGGCATCACATATTATATATTGTTTCACAAATTACACCAAATGTGCAACACTATACCTTGCCCTCTGTCTAACAGGAGGTGATGGTGGAGCTCCTCGATCTCTTGACCAACCATTATCTGTTGTACGACTATGGTGATACCCAGTCTCTGTTGACTTTGTAAATGGTGTGGCACTGGACCATGATGACCTTCCAGTACTTGTTGACATTGTCGCCATTGTACCTTTACCACTGTCGACAGATTTCTCAAATGACTGCAATGAAAAGTTTTAAATTTGAGATTAAATCCAGTTTTTGAATAAAGAAAGAGTTGAAAAATAGCAAGAAAGAAGGAAGAAAGAGAGAGAGAAGGGATTTATAAGAAATGAAAGAATTGTCTTACCCTGTATGAAGAATGGTGTTTTGAAGGAGATGATAAACATTGTGGCTGCATAAATGGATGGTCCAAGATACCTAAATTTTTGAAGGTGTAATTAAAGTTAACTCAAGAAAATTGTAATGAGAACATTGGACAAACGATATACATGTATGTAATTACTACCTGACAATGTTATTCTGTGATCAGGATTCTGCAATGAAGGAAATAACGTCAGCTTATTATTTATATATCATTAATTAATAAAACTAATAAAAATGAATGAATTTATTATATCATCAAAATTTGAATTTTCACCGCTGCAGATAACGGTTTATATGCATTTGATACCTTTTTTAATAACCTTCCAATCAGATCTTTAGCCTCTGGTGAAATATGTCTARTATGCAATAAAAAAATAATTATAACAAATATTAGATGTATGCTAATGC